AGCTTACATCCTAAGTGGAGGGAGAAGGCAATAAACAAGAAAACTAAATAAATAAAACTTTTCTATTTTCAGAGATACCACGTTCCAAAATGTGTGGCAGAGACTGGCTAATCTGTCACTAAAATGGCTTCCCTTTGCTCCTTTGCACACAGCTGGACCACATTTCCCATCATTCCTTGCAGTCAGGTATGTGAGCCAACAGCAGGAGAGCAAATGTGTTGTGTTGGACCTCCAGGCGTGACCTAAAAACCTCCCACTTGTGGCCCTCACCTCTTTCAACATCCACTGATAGAGAGGACTGGGGACAGGGAGGGGCAAGCCAACTAAAGTCACCCAGAGCCACTAGATGGAAGGAGCCTGAGTCCCTGGGTGACTCAGGGGCAGATCCACCCTACTGACTGCATTACAGTATGGTGTGAAGGAAATATAGATTGAATTAAGCCACTGAAATTTGGGGGTTCTTTGGTTAATAGTAGCTAGTAATTTACCTTACCTAATACACTCCATGAAGCAAAGATTCTGGAAGACTACAAAAATGACTCCAATTTTTCACCTCTCTGTCTCCCTGCCTTTTGCCATCTGACTTCCCAGCAACTTCCTTCAAAGGGTGGAGTCTATTCCTCTCCCCCACCCCCCGGCCTTGAATCTGAGCAGGTGTTGGGAATAGATGCGGTCAACAGAATGTGGAAGAAGGGAATGGCGTGACGGTTGCCAACCATAGCTAACTCCCTGACCAAATAAATTCAGAAAAAAAAAAAAAAAAGTCCTGGATCTTTTGGGACACACGCGCTGGGAGAAGCCAGCCACCATGGAAGATCACCATGCTGGAGTGGCCAGGTGTATTTGCTCTGGTCGATAGCCCACTGACCTTTCATCTGACAGTCAGCAACACTGCCAGCTACGTGAGAGAGCCACCTTGGCCACCGAGGCCAGTCGAGTTTTTAAATGACTCAAGCCCCACCCAGCATCTGACTTCAACTGAAGGAAGCCCAGCCCAGCCCCACTGAGCCCTTCTTGAATAACTGATCCATACAGTCAGAGGAAAAAGAAAATGGTTGGTTTAAGCTGCTTAATTTTCAGATAATTTGTTATGCAGCAAAAGATAATTGAAACACTGGGGTTGCAGAGTCTACCCTGACCCTCATCCTACAGCAGCCAGACATGTAAGCCAGTGAGCGGGGCCTGGTGTGGGACAACAGGGCATGGTAGGGACCCTGATTTACCAGGGAACCCATGCTGTGCTGCTCTAGGCTGTATTTGCCCCCAGATCTGTCCCTCATCCTCCCCTTTCTGCCTGCATCCCAGCCTCAGTTCCCAGTCTCCCCGTTTATCTGGATTTATCTGGGGTTCTGCCAGTGAGAAGCAGTGGCAGGAGCCTGGAGAGTGGGAGCAAGAGGCCATGACAAGTCATCCCTCTCCCCGTCGTTGTGCCGCCTCGAAGCTCTAGCCAGCTTGACAATCCCACTGGGTCTCCAGCTTTTTTTAGGTGACTTTGTCTCGGGGATCTGCTGATACCACCTCCTCCCTTTGTTGCTCCAGCCTGGGGTGACAGTGCTGCTAATTTCTGATTGCTTCACTGGCTCCTTCTTGGCCCCCCAGCTCCTCCACCTGGTGCATAACCACCTCCATGTGTCAACGTCCCTCTCTTCTAATATCTGTATCTGCACCAGGCCCTCACAGGTATAGCATCTGTAGCCCTACTGTGCTCAGCAGAAAAGTGGGCTCCATGTTGTCAGATACCCCAACATGGCAGAAGCCAGAAATCAAGAGTGTCATGGGGGTGTTCCGATTTTTCAAACGCTGTGGATGCCAGTGGTCCTCTTACTTCAGAGTAGGTAGAAGCCGCAGGAGAGACTGAGGAGGGGAACTTACTAGGTCAGTGAACAGACCTTTACTGAGCACCGACTGTGTGCAGGTACTGTGTGAGGAGCTGGGGACAAAGTGGTAAGTAAGAGAGGTGAGTCCCTGCCCTGTAGGCTTACCTTATAGTAGGGGAGACAGACAGACGAATGAAGGAGAGGAAGAACAGCGTGTGGAACACACCATGCAGAAGGAAAGGTGGGTGATATTGTGTGAATGTGGGTGTGGGGGAGTCAGGCTTTAGTTGGGATGACACAACGGCAGCATCGAGATGGGGCATCTGAGCTGAGAGACCTCAAGGACAAGAGAGCCAGGCCTACAAAGATCTGGGAGAACCCTGTTCCCAGAAGAGGGAGTGGCCGTCACAAAGTCCTGGAGCCAGGAGGAAAGAGCTGGAAGTGTGTGAGAAACAGCCAGAATGGATGGCTGGGGCAGAAGGAGTGAAAGGCAAGTTGAAGGACTATGTGGGGTTGGGGAGACTGCCATGGCCACAGGAAGGAGCTTGGATTTTACTGTTTAAGCGCAATGAGAAGCCGTTGGAAGGTTTTAAGAAGGGAAGTAGTATGATCTGGTTTATGTTTTTGAAAGACACCTCCCCCCAAAGGTATAGTATGAGGACGCCAAGTAGGACACAAGATTAGAGGCTGGGAAACCAGTCTGTAAGCAATTGCGGTAGTCTGTAGCAATTAAGGTGGTGCTGAATGGGGCTCGGGCCGGGGTGTTAACAGTATAGCAGTGAGAAGTGGGCGGGTTTGGGGGAGCTGTGTCACAGAAACCAGAAGGGGAGTTTTCAGACGGGACTGGTCTGGAGGACTTGTTAAAACGCAGACTGCTGGGTCCTGTCCCCAGAGATTACAGTTCCGTGGGTCTAGGGCAACAGAGAATTTGCATTTCTAACAAGTTGTCATATGATATTACTCTTGTTGCTGCAGACCCAGAGATCACACTTTGAAAACCACTAAGTCTAAAACAATGCTTTCTAATAGAAATATAATGCAAGCCACGTGTGTTATTTAAAAATTTCTAGGGGCACCTGGCTGGCTCAGTCGGACGAGCACACGACTCTTGATCGCGGGGTCATGAGTTCGAGCCCCATGTTGGGTGTAGAGATTACTTAAATACATTTTAAAATAAAATAAAATTTTCTAGTAGCCACGGCTAAAAAGACAAAAAGGTGAAAGTATGTTAATAAAATATTTCAGTCATATATGTTATTATTAATATACCCCAAATACTATCATTTCAACAAGTTACCCATGTTTTTAAAATTTTTTAAAGATTTATTTATTTGAGAGAAAGAATGAACAGGAGGAGCAGAGGGAGAAGAAGAGAGAACCTGAAGCAGACTCCAGGCTCAGCATGGAACCCTGCAGGGCTCCGTCTCACCACCCAGAGATCACGACCTGAGCCAAAACCAAAAGTCAGACGCTTAACCGACTGTGCCACCAGGCGCTCCTACATGTTACTAATGTTTTTAAAATTCTTGAGATATTTTACATTCTTTCTTTCTTTCTTTCTCTTTTGCAACAAGTCTTTGAAATCCCAGTGTGTATTTATACTTATAGCACATCTTAATTAGGACTAATTAAACCTTCAACACCCTGTGTGGCTAGTGCCTACCACACTGGACAGCACAGGATAGGCCTGTTATTGTAGGACCAGTGTTAAGAACAGAGAATTGCCTCTTGAATTTAGCTACAGGGAAGAGCTTTAGCAACACAAAAGTATCGGGGTTTTTTGTGAAACAGAGAGAGAGATGGAGGGGAGGGCATGTAGACACTTCTCTCCTGAAGTTTGGCTGTGTTACTGTAATGGATGGATAAGGCTGACAACACTTACACCCATCATTGGATATTAACAACACAAACACAAAAGAAACATCCAACATTATTATGTGCCTCCTGATTGAAGAACTCACCATCACCCATGAAGTATACTTACCCCTAAATTAAACCTGAAATTGACCCAGACTCTAGATCTACCATTTTGCAGGACATACAGGACACAGAAGGAACTAGCCAAGTCAGACTATGAGATGAATGAGAGGGAGGGTGAACTGCGCTAGAATAAAAGACTTAAACAGCTGCCAACAAAACGCAACGCATATATCCTGTTTGCAGTCTGATATGAACCAGTCAACAGTTAAGACATTTATAAGACGATCAGGGAAATTTGGAGACAAGTTGGGTATTAAATAAAATTAAGAAATTATTTGTTGTTAAGTGTGATGAAGGTTTGTGGGTTTTTTTTTTTTTTTAAAGAAACTTGTATTTTAGAGATACATATAAAAGTATTTGTGGATGAAATCATATGATGTCTGGGATTTGCTTTAAACTAATTATGCAGGGAGGGAGGCAGAAAAAATATAACAAGATTGGCCATATGTTGATAATTGTTGAAGAAAGGTGATGGGTGCCTGGGGGATCATTACACTGTTCTGTTTTTATGCATGGTTGAACATTACCATAATAAGGTGGAGTTTTTTGTTGTTTTGTTTTGTTTTGTTTTTTAAAGGGGGTAGAGGGGTAGCTGTGAAGGAAAAGAGAGAAAAGAAGGGGAAGGGATTTTTCTTCTTTTAAGACTAAAGCGCCATGAACAGGCTCGAGAGCTGACAAGGGATAGTGGAGATTCAGGAGAGCCACAGGCGGCTGAGCTGGCTCCAGGGTCGTATACACCGTGTGTGTGTGTGGGCGGGGGGGGCGGTTCTCGCTGGTTCTTAAGAGACTGCGCAGCCCCCACCCCCACCCCATTCCCCCCCCGCTGTCTCAAAGCGGCTGTGACTCCTGGGACAGAACAGAGGCCCCTACCCACCCGCTAAGGTCCATCTGGCTTGACCAACCGCCCGCGCCTGCGCAGCATCCTCCCCACGTCCGCCAGGGCCGCAGGCTCAATTCCGACACCCCACAATCCCCCGCGCCTCTCTGGAGGCGCACTCCCTGAGGGGGCGAGGCCTCAGCCACCATATTTGAGCAAGGCGGGGCAGGGGTGTCGCATAGCCTTCTGGGAAATGCAGTTTGCTTGCTAGGCTAGACCCACCGCTTAACCCCCGCACGAGACTACGTGCCCCACAATACACCGCGCGCGCAGCGGCTGAGCGGTGTGTTGCTGCCCCCACGTGGCAGATGAGAGGTTATGTCTAAACCGGGGACTAGTGCTGAGAGGGGCGCGAGCTGGGACCGGACTGGGGGACGTTGAGGGTTGCCCTGGGAACCTCTGGGAGGCCTTTCCAGAGGGGAGGGCCCCGGACCTGGACCAAGGAAGAGTGGTGGTGGTGAAGAAGTTGGAGGTAGGGCCCACTATGAAGATTAAATGAAATTATTATTGTTATCATTACAGCTAGTACTTACAGAGTAAGTGCTTACGTGTGAGGCACTGCTCCCAGCTTTTTACATGAACTATCTCATTTAATCCTCTCAACAACCAGTTGAGGTACTATCAGCCCCCGCTTTACAAGAATGAAGTTGAGGCCCGAAGAAGGGAATAATTTGCCCAAAGTCAATTCAGCTCGTCAGTGGTAGAGCTGGGATATGAACCTAGGCTGTCAGGATTCCCTGTCAGTGCTTTTCTTCACTAAGACTGTAACACCCTCTGATCACTCTGTTAAATTAGCCCAAGATTGTAATTAGCACATGAATCAACTAAAAATGGCCATTAGTATGTGGATTTCTGAGTTGGTGATTATGTGTTTCTGCCCAAGTTTGTGATTTAGCCCTGCTCCAGGACAGAGTTTACAATCAGCATAGATTTATAATTAGCACATGAATCAGAACGGGTTTATGTTCACAGAGATCAGATTTCTGATTAGCACTTGAATCAACAGTCGTTTGTGTTAGAAGCTGGAATCATTAGTTTCTGATTAGCACACAGATCTGTGCACACAGGGATTATATTTACACCTAGAAAGCCCTACCCGCTTCTGGGCCAGGTGACCTCCTCCTTAAAAGTTGCCCTTATCCCTTCACTGAACCTCCCCACCCCCATCATCATGCACCGGCAGGTAGCCTTGGTGATTTCCTTGTCCCTCCTCTCTCCCCCAGCTTGTTCATAACGGAATATCACAGCGACAACCACAGTTCAGAAATTACCTGTTCTCTTTCTGCCTTATGAGGAGACAAAATTCCAAAGCCTGGACTGTACCTGATTGACAGGTGTGTTCCCAGCATCGGGCCTAGCACATAGTGAGGGCTCAATAAATGCTTGGAAAAAGAATGTTGGATGCTCACCATCATCTTTATGCATCGACCTAAAGATCGATCAAATCAAGCCAGATTCACTTTGCCCTCAAAAGAGTAAAATTTGTGGTCACCCAGCCCAAAGGCAGGGACCCAGGGTAGGTGGGTGGGTGGGTGGTCAGGGTGGGGCCGAGACGTCTCCCTGCAGCAGGATTTGGTATCTTGGTTGGAAGGAGATCCCACCTCCTCTTCCTGCTGCCTCCCCTGAGGTTGCAGATCTGGTGGCGGTTGATGTTGGGTCCATTATAATCCATACACTCTGCATAATTGTGACTGGGAGGAAGCTGCCCAACCTGGGAATAAGTTCTCAACCCTCCTTGCATCTGGGGTGGCCACGTGACTAGTTCTTTCCAATATAATATGGGCAGAAGGGAGGTTTATCAAAGGTCACTTCTGGGCCAAGTTTCTTTTTTTTTTTTTTTTTTTTTT